GTCACACTTCACCCTCCCACCCAACTTGGTATCATCTGCAAACTTGGAGATGTTACATTTTGTTCCCTAATGCAAATCATTGACATATATTATGAATAGCTGGGGTCCCAGCACTGATCCCTGTGACACCCCACTAGTTACTGCCACCCAATTTGAAAAGGACCCGTTAATTCCTACTCTTTGTTTCCTATCTGCCAACCAGTTTCCTATCCATCTCAATACACTTCCCCAAATCCCATGCTTTTTAATCTTGTACAATAATCTCTTATGTGGGACTTTGTCAAATGATTTATGCAAGTCCAAATATACTACATCGACTGGATCCCCCTCGTCAACTCTACTAGTTACATCTTCATAGAATTCCAACAGATTTGTCAAGCATGATTTCCCCTTCATAAATCCATGCTGACTCTGTCTGATCCTGTCACTGCTTTCTAAATACTCCACTATAAAGTCCTTGATAATGGATTCAAGAATTTTCCCCACTATCAATGTCGGGCTTACTGTTCTATAATTTCCCGTGTTCTCTCTACCTCCCTTTTTTGAATATTGGAGTGACATTAGCCATCCTCCAATCTGCAGGGACTGTTCCTGGAAGATGACCACCAATGCATCCACTATTTCTAGAGCTACTTTCTTAAGTACTCTGGGATGTAGATTATCAGGTCCTGGGGATTTATTAGCCTTTAATCCCAACGATTTCCCCAGCACCATTTCTCCACTAATATTGATCTCTGTCAGTTCTTCTCTCTCACTAAATCTTGTACTCTCCAACAATTCTGGTATCTGATTTGTGTCCTCTTTTATGAAGACAGAACCAAAGTATGTGTTCAGTTGCTCAGCTATTTCTTTGTCCCCTATTATACATTCCCCCATTTCTGTCTGTAGGGGACCTACATTTGTCTTCACCAATCTGTTTCTCTAGTCTTTCCCACATTCCAGCTGAGGATCAGATACTCACCTTGGTCTGTATTTCAGTTCCTTTAGCTCCGGTCAAGGGCAGAGCAGCAGCAAGTTGTCAGAATGCAGCTCTCATCGAGTGGAAATCTGAGAGCAGGAATCCTGCAGATTCCTACACAGTGGAATTCTGCAAAGTCTGCAGCGGCTGTGACTGGAGAGAATCCCTCACAGAGTGAGTACTGACCCTCAGAACAAACCCTAAAATTAAACCCAATGAAAACATTTCATCTCTGATATCTACAGTTCAGGTTAGCATTAAAAGTTAATCTTTCAATCCCTTCCTCCTCCCCACTTAGACAAAAGGCTTGAGCTACAGTACCGCCTCCCCAAATAGTCAGTGATGTCCCAATACCCCACCAGCCCTGCACTGCTGACTGGAGTGTAATCCCACTGTACCCCCACCCCCCAAACCGGCTCATGTCCATCCATGGAGGAGTGATCCCAGTTGGGGCCATTCGTGGTCAGGGTGAGCTGAGTGTTCAGCTCTGATCTAAAACAGTGGAACAGTCTTGATGGGCTGAATGGCCTTCTCCTGGCCCTGTATTCATCTGCATTAGGCCTAGAATTGAAATGTGTTCTTTCTGTTGGAGTGTTTCTGTCCGGAATAGCATTTCCTGAATGAACAATCTCTTGTTTCTGTCGAGGTCGCTGACTGGGATAACTTCATGCGAAACAGTGGTTGATCTGGAACCCAGTGAGAATTATCTGTTCTATGTCCGAGCACTGAACGTAGGTGGTTGCAGTGAGAGGAGCTCACCCATTAGCATTCGAACCACAGGTTAGTGACAAGAGAGAAATCAAAAACAGAAATTGCTGGACCTGAAATAACTCTGCCTCTCTCCCCAGATACTGCCAGACGTGCTAAATTTTCCCAGCAATTTCTGTTTTTATTTTGGATTTCCAGCATCTTCAGTTTTTTTTTTAAATAGAAAATGAAGGAACCCTGAACAAAAGGTTGGATTGTCTCTGACAGGGAGCCAGTTCTATCTGATGGAGCAGACAGCTCATCTGGCGCTCTCATTTCTGGAAGATGGAGTGACAATTGTTTATAATGAGGACAATGTCTGCATAGATTCCCCAAACTATGAACAGCGGTTTACAAGGTGAGTGAGGGAAATCAAATAACTTTTCAGTTTCGGGTGCTCCCTGTTCCATTGCCTGGACACTGCTATAGGTACATCATCTGTTTGGTGATGATGAACTGTTTGTTCGAGGTCATAACACACAGAGGGTCAGCGTTGAGGGAGCGCCGCACTGTCGGAGGATCAGTGCTGAGAGACCGCCGCACTGTTAGAGGGGCTGTAATGATGACTTGAAAACATTCTGCTTGTTTGGTAAAAGTTCCAGATCTGCAGTGAAAACTATTTTTTCTTTATTCCGTCATGGGATGCTGGCATCTCTAGCAAGGCCAATAACTGTTGTCTGTTCCTAACTGTCCCCTTGAATTGAGTGCCCTGTACCATTTCAGAGGGCAATTAAGAATCAACCACACAGATCAGATCAGTTAAGGATGGCAGGTTTTCTTCCCTGAAGGGTATTAGTGAACCAGGTGGGTTTTTACAACAGTCAGTCAGTCAGTGGTGGTCACCATCATGGAGACTGGTTTCCCACTGGGTATTATTGATTGAATTTAAAATTCCACCAGCTGCTATGGGGGTTTGAACTCCTGTCCCCAGAGCATTAAAATAGAATTTAGGATTACTCTGGATTACTGATCCAATGGCATTTCCACCATTCCCTCCATCCACCCCCCAACATATCATAACATCAAAGGCTTCTAGCCTCGTGTCCAATAATTGGATTAACTGGTTATCTACATTGTTATCCCCATTATTTACTGTTTAAGCAATGAACAAGTCATTGAATTTCAATAACAAATTAATGTTTGCTTTATGTGAAATGCTTTCAAATATTTGAGGGAGTGGGATAGATACATGATCTGATTGGCTACTGTCACATATGGCCAATCAGAAATCCAGATGTGGGCAGATACAATTTTAATAAAGTTAATAGATGTAATGTAAGTGGTGATATGACTTTAACAGCTGAACAATTCGTTGGTAAAAAGGTGAGATCAGAATGTGTTTAAATTCTGTGGCTGTTGCTTCCTGAGGCTATGCCCTCTGTTTACCAGCTGCTCTGCAAGATGACATCAGCACCCTGGAAACACAAAAACATTATGAATGCACATTGACAAGTGTAAATGTAATGGTGGGAGTTTGGATCCTGTTTCTTTTGGAGGGGTGTTGGGGGAAGGTGGATCTGGCTGGAAAGGCTTGGTCTGACATCTTGACTGAGTCTAGACACTGATTGTATAAGTATTGATCTCTCCTTTTGACCTTCCGTTACTGATCAATAACACAGATTGACATGAGCTGACTGATGGCTAACGTTGTAACTCGCTCTCATTGGTAGTTGTGCTGCTGTCATGGGACTGTTAGTGCCTGTCCGAGGAAAACATTACTGGGAGGTTGAAGTGTCTGACCACACAGAATACAGGATTGGTGTTGCCTCCCACAACATCCCCCGGGACAGCTACATTGGTTCAAATATCACATCATGGTGCATGAGACACACTGTCTCACCATCCAGGTACTGAGTGAACACAAACTCATCTAATCAAAGCACAGGGCTAGTGTTGCAAACTTCACTAACCATTCATCCTTCCCAGGAGTCATTACTTTAACCAGCTTTTTCCTCCTGTTGTCTCTCCTTTATATTCTTAAATAGTTTAAATCCTGACTGACAAAGCCTTGACTCTGGGAATCATGTTGAGACTAACAGCCCTGGTTAGTGATGATGGGCTTTCTGTGAAGTTTAGCTCCTTTGCACGGTGTTTGAGACAGATAATATGCATCACAGATAAAATACATCACAAGGAGGTAAAATTGAGAAATCCTGCCTCAGATTATTCTTTGATTAAGGCTCTTATAGCAGCCAATCAATTTCTTTCCAATTCTCTCCATCGCTGTGTTGATCTTTGATTCCTGCTATTTCCTGTTGATCACACACTCAGTGAGCGAATACGTGGAAGCTTCACCAATTAACATAGCCTGAGACTGACTGTACCCCACACTCGCTGGGGGGCAATGACTCATTCCTTAGTCTCTTTCACTGTGGGATAGGAGGGGAATGGAAATTCCTTCACCAGTACAGGCTGTTATTCAATTGCCTCTTTGTTGAGGTTTGGGTTGTTTGGAATCTGAGTCGAGTCCACCAGGCATGATGCCATTTTGAGAGTGAAATGATCCTGGTCACCCTATCCCTTTCTTACAGTCTTCTCAGGATCTGGGCAGCACTGACCAACAGCATTTATTGCCAGTCCCTAATTAAAGGCAGTAAGAAAAGCCAGGGAACTATAGAACGGTGAGCTTGACATCCACAGTGGGCAAATTGTTGGATGGAATCCTGAGGGACGGGATTTACATGTATGGAAAGGCAAGGACTGATTAGGAATAGTCAACATGGCTTTATGCATGGGAATCATGTCCCACTAACTCGACTGAGTTTTTTTGAAGAAGTAATGAAGAGGATTGATGAGAACAGAGAGGTGGATGTGATCTATATAGACTTCAGTAAGGCATTTGACAAGGTTCCTCATGGTAGACTGGTTTGCAAAGTTAGATCACATGGAGCCATTTGGATACAGAACTGGCTCAAAAGGTAGAAGACAGAAGGCGGTGGTGGAGGGTTGCATTTCAGACTGAAGGCCTGTGACCAGCGGTGTGTCACAGGGATCGGTGCACCACAGGGATCGGTGCTAGGTCCACTGCTTTTCGTTATTAGGTGTGAACATAGGAGGTATGGTTAGTAATTTACAGATGACACCAAAATTAGGTGGTGTAGTGGACAGCAAAGGTTACCTCAGAGTACGACGGGATCTTGATCAGATGGGCCAATGGGCCAAGAGTGGCAGATGGAATTTAATTTAGATAAACGTGAGGTGCTGCCCTTCCAGATGGTTACATGTTTGGGAGTAGACCACTTGCTATCACCCTCCCTTATTACAAAGTTCATGAAATCTAAAAGTAGATTTTAAACTGAGACTTTTGAATAGTTAGCTGGTATTTTTTTCGATGTATTTCGGGAAACTGCGCGAGAATGATGCATGATTCAGTGAATTGTTTCTGCTGCAGACGCCTTTTGCTGTTTTTTTCCCCCCTTTTGTTTTAAATCTGCAGAAGTAAGTTTGAATTCCTCCACAACGGGATCACCCCAGACTTGAGGATCACCGTAACCCCAAAACAAATCGGAATTCTCCTGGACTACGACAAGGGCAAACTTTCCTTCTTCAATGTTACCATCGCTCAACATCTCTTCACGTTCTCACATCCATTTCAGCAGCTTGTCCATCCTTGCTTCGCTTTGGAAAGACCTGGCAGTTTAAAAATTTGTCATGGGATTCCTATCCCCGAGTTTACCAGATTACCATGATTTTCTTTTTCAGCTTAAACTTCAGCGAATGTTGGGTGGATTTAGGCTTTAGCTCAAAAGGAAAATACCAACGAAATATGCATTGCTTCTCATCAGTAGCTCCCAGAGAGATTGTGCCAACGTGAAAGGGTCTGCCCGTTAACACTGCCACATTGGAGCAGGAGAGGGAACCAGTGAGCATCGGCGACGTGGGTGGGCGCTGACAATGCAGCCCCCCCCGCTCCCCGCCGTCTCCCCTCCCCTTCCCTTCCTCTCTCCGCGCCCCCCACCCCCGGCTCCCAGCAGTGTGCGCCCCTCCTCCCCCCAGCTCCATTTATTTCATCTCTCAGATTTAACCAAAGCTGATTTTAACCCCGTTCGCTAGCCGCATGTAAAAAGGAGCCGGTGCTAATTAAGAGCAAACTTTGTTTTGGGACAATTTGTATTCCCCGCCCCACAACTCTGGGGGTACTTTTAGCTTGTCCTTACCCTGCCGTGAAAATCTAGAAAACACAGGATTCTGCTCCCATCGAGAGGATCCGTCAATTTACAGAAGAGAGTACGGAGTGACACTACTGAGTAGGATCCACAGCAAACACACTGCGCCGGCCTGTGAATTAAAGCAACCAGAACTCATACCTGAACTTACAGCAAAGTCTCCCCATTAGAAAAAAAGACACGGTAATGTTTTTCAGCAAACTGTTATAAGTAGATGGTTACATTTATATCTCCAATGTTGTGCTTAAAATCAATTCCAGTCACTTTTCTGATTGGCAATCAGACAGAATCGATTCGATAGGTCAAATGGCCTTACTCTGTGCTGGAAATATCGGAATTACTCCCTCACCATTCTTTCTACGAATAGCTATGTTAAATGTGAAAGACGTGGGATATCCAACACCACAAACCCGTAGCGGTTTTATGATTTGTTCGCACATTGTTACAAACTTGTCTGATACAAAATAAATAGTAACTAGGCAAGGGGCAAATTGTAGCTCCATTAGAAATGGGATGTAAATATTCAGAAACAAAGTCACTGGAAGATCTGCTTTTGCTTTCAATGTTTCAGCTGTAACTTTTGACAAACAGGTTCATGCTCCCTCTTGGGCAGGGCAAGGGGGGTGGTGGTGTGTGGTGGTGTCAGGGAATTCCAAACAGTTTTCCAGGCTCAGTAAAAGAAGCACAGGTCCAGGCAGCTGGAGACATTCTAGTAACTCAAAATTACTGTTAGTAATGTAACCATTGCTGTAAAAACATATCTGGTTCACAAATCATCAATGTCCCTTCTTTAGCTGGTCTGGCTTACATAGGACTGTAGACGCACTAGTCGATTCTTAACTGCCCTCTGATACGGCCAAGTGAGGTACTGAGTTGTAGTGGACTGCTACAAAGTCTGGCAGGAATGAAATTATCAAGCCCTAGTCAAGCAACAGCCTGAGATCGGTACTAGAGGGGGTGAAAATGCTGCTGCCTGTTGAGGGAAAATTCTACTGACCTCAGCCTGAGCCACATACCTGTCACAGCTGTGTCTGCCGATTGCAGCATTGAGAGGAGTGAATACTACACACAGTCATCAGGGAGACAAATGCCATTTTCAATTTGAAGATTACCATCCATCATAGGACCCCTACAGTGCAGAAGTAGGTCATTTAGCCCATCAAGTCCACACCAATCCTCTGACAAGTTCCCACACAGACTTAGCCCCCTACCATATCCATAACCCCACATGTCCCATGGTTAATTCTCCTACCTTGCACATCTTTGGACTGTGGGATAAAACCAGAGAACCCAGTGGAAACCCACGCAAGACACAAGGAGAATGTGCAAACTCCACATGGACAGCTGCCCGAGGCTGGAACTGAACCTGGGTCCCTGGTGCTGTGAGGTAAATAGGGTGCACTTTGAACAACCCAGAACTGGGTATTGAAGAAGTGCTCAGAATCTAATTCTGCTGCTGATGGCCCAAACACAATCTGTCATTATGGCCTGGCATATCCTTCACACTACCCTTAGCGTCAAGCTACAGGACCAACACAGGTTTCAATGAAGAGTGTAAGAGGGCATGTCAGTAACAGGACAAGATATACCTCAAAATGAAGTGTCAACTTAGTGAGGCCAGAAAACAGGACTACTTTGCCTGTGAAACACCATGAGCTCTCTTTAGATTTTGCCACGTCACTCAGTTCCTGACCTCATTGCAGCCATGGTGCAAATATGGACAAAAGAGCTGAATTCTAGAGGTGAGATGAGAGTCAATGACTTTGATAGCAAAGTTAAAGTTGACTAGTAAAACTGGAATAAATGGGAATGGGGGGGAAATCTCCTCTCCTGGTTGGAGCCATACCTAGCACAGAAGAATATAATTGTAGTGAATCGTCTCAGCTCCAGGACATCTCTGCAGGAGTTCCTCAGGGCAGTGTCCTAGGCCCAACCATCTTCAGCTGCTTCAGTGACCTTCTCTTCATCATAAGGTCAGAAGTGAGAAGGTTTGCTGATGATTACACAATGTTCAGCACTACTTGCAACTCCTCAGATACAATCCATGTCCATAAACAGCAACACTTGGACAACATTGGCATTTGGTCATTGTTAAGTAATAATCGCACCTCATAAGTGAAAGGCAATTATCATTTCCAACAAAAAAAAATTAACTCTTTCTCCCTTCAGGTCATGATCATCACAATCTCCCACTACCAACATCCTGGGGTTACCCCTGACCAGAACCTGAACTGGACATAGCCACAGTATTTATGCAGCTAAGCAGCAGAGGCTAGGAATACTGTAGCAAGTAACTCGCCTCCTGACTCCCCAAAGTATGTTCATCATCTACAAGGCACAAGTCAGGAGTGTGATGGAATACTCCCCACTTGCCTGGATGAGTGCAGCTCCAACATCACAAAAAACCCAACATTATCCAGGACAAAGCAGCCTGCTTGACTGGCAACTCTCCACAACCTTCAATGTTCACTCCCTCCACCAGCGACAGCAGTAACAGCAATATGCACCATGTACAAGATGTACTGCAGGAACACCACAGCTCCTTCAATAACACCTTCCAAACATACAACTTCACTATCTAGAAAGACAAGGGTAGCAGATGCCCAGCAACAACTGTATGCTTGCTCTCTCTTACCTTCCCCCCCAACCCCCACCACATGCTTTGAACCATATCACTATCCCATCAGTGTCACTGGATCAAAATCATGGACCTCCCTCCCTGGCAGGACTGTGGGTGTACCTACACCACAGGGACTACAGCAGTTCAAGAATACAAGGAGGCAGCTCACCACCAACCTGCCAAGGGCAGTTAAGGATGGGCAACAAATGTTGACCTAGCTCGTAACACCAAATTCCAATAGAATAAACAAACATAACCCAAACTTTAAGCCACCAGGGTCTCAAGTCACATTGAGGAGAAATTAAAAATTGGTGCTATTGCATCAGGAGTCTATTCACTCCTTCCAGTCTGATCCACAATTTAAATTTATTTGCACCTCAACTCCACGGACCTACCATTATTTCATGGGTTCCTGGATAATTTTACCCAACAAAAATGTTATCAATAAAACAAAACAAAGAACTGCAGATGCTGAAAATCTCAAAACAAAAAAAAAATTGCTGAAGAAACTCAGCAGCTCTGGCAGCATCTGTGTGGGGCGGGGGGGGGGGGGGGGGGGGAGGGGGTGAGGGAAGAGAGAGTTAACAGCTCGAGTCCAGCGAACCCTCTTCAGAACAACCCTTCTGAAGAATGATTGCTAGACTCCAAACATTCACTCTTTCTCTCTCCACAGATGCTGCCAGATCTGCTGAATTTCCTCAGCAATTTCTAAAAATGTTAACAATCTCAGCCTGAACATTATCAATGATGACAAGCATGAAGAATCTTTTCACAGTTTTGTTTTTCCATAATCTCTCTTGACTTCTGGTTGCAGCACCACCCCCCAAACAGCCTGGCTCTAACTGTAACACTTTGTTCATGATTCCTCCACCAGAGGAGTCATTTCTCTGCATTCACTCAATCTCCTCATTAATTTAAATACTTCAAACAGCTTTCAACCTCCCAAGTGAATACAATCTCTCATAAAGTCATCTTAATTTAACTCCTTCATTCCCCAACAGTTTGTAGTTTATTTCATCTTCGTCTGGAACTTGTTCCAACTGTAAGAACCCAATTGGCAAAATCAGGCAGAGGACTCAATTTCAGGAGGACTGTTTCAGTTTACAACACAAATACAATTAATGTGCGTGTAAAATGTTATTCCAGTAAGAAATGCCCAGCCCCTTGGTAAAGCCAAGCCGAATTACTTTATGTCAAACCTGTTTTAAACAACTGCAGGCAGCTTGTTACTGTTCTTCCATCAGTTTTAAAAGGCACTCATATACTGTGACCATATTCAGGTTGCAGGTCAGTACAAAGTCAGACACCAAGTTGCTGCTTCATCTGTTGCTCGGTTCTGACTAGGGACTGAGAGATGACTGTGGGCTGGCAGATCTCCTGTTCTCTCTCCTGCCCAAACTGGAATTGATCACAATTCAGAGAAAGCAGGAACTGCAGATGCTGGAGAATCTGCGATAACAAGGTGTAGAGCTG